ATTCTCCCCTCAGTAACCCTCAGAAGGTTTTCACACTGCAAGATACATTTTGTCCTGGGTTTATATTCGAGGTGGACAGAAGTTTCAACATCTTTATAACCAGGTACTTGGTTTTCTGCGGATTCTACCCCAGTATATAATATAATTATGAGGGGATGACCATATTAAAGTAAATTAAAGTATATTAAAGTATATTAAAGTATATATCGCAGGCGCAAAATCGGAAAAAACCTACATTTTAATGTAAAAAATTATCCAAAAATTATGCTGTATCAATGAACAAAATTCATGACCACCGATAGTCCCTACAGGAGTACCTGTTCCCCCCCCCCCTGCCCCCCCCCCCCCCCCCCGGCCCCCCTACAGATTACTTCCTTAGCTGCTGCTGACGTTATTATAGTGTGGAAATGGGCCCTTATTCGGCTCTTTAGTGGCATTTAGTCGGTGGTAAAATAATACCAAGACATTAAGACAAGGCTGATTTTATCACAAAATCAGTTCTTCAGTCATATTATAATACTTAAGCTAATTGGACTCCTTGATCAGGCTGAGTCAGTCGAGATTGTATTTCGGGCATCACGGCGAGCAGAACCAATGGCAGAAGTTAGAGAAAGTAAAGAATGATCAGAGTTATAACGAGACAGAGGAACACAAGGATGGGGTCAAACAGATGGTATTTTCTTACAAGAAGTTCCTGCACAGTGCCAAAGTTTACGATACGTGGCTTCAACACGGTCAGTTTCATCATTTTAAGCCGTAGGTTAAATAATTTATGTTTCAGGTACTTGCTTTTGACAACTTCCTTGGCAATTAACATGACGTATTAAAAGTCTTTAGCGTCGCAGATTCGCAGAGTTATTAAGTTGTCCAGTTTGGTGATTCAAATTATCTGTTCGCCTTTTCGACTTTTCGAATCCAATTAACAGATCTATTCCTGGTAGGCAAGCCGGCTATGGACCTGATAGACTACAGGGTGCTGATGCCTGTAGACACTACCCCCAGAATGGGGATGGGTTGTGACGGCGACTGTAACTTCTACTTCGAGATAGAGCACCATCCAGCAAAAAATATCTTCCAGACTATAAGGCGACGAGAAGAGGGAAAGGGAAACCAAATCTTTGTGAGTATAATTTCGTGTTCCCCCGCAGACTAAACGGTTTTTGACAAACATTTAAGCAAATCATTTAACATAAGACATTTCAATTACTGAGATTGCACTCTGAGAGACACCTTGATGTCAGTGTTTGGTTATAATGTCTTCATGTTAACTAATACCTACCCCTCACAACAACCATACCCAGATAAGCGAGGACCCGTGTTAGTAACCAGTTAGTAACCAGTTAGTAACCAGTTAGTAACCAGTGTTTGGTTATAATGTCTTCATGTTAACTAATACCTACCCCTCACAACAACTATACCCTAGATAAGCGAGGACCCGTTCGCGGACGACTTTGCTAACCTGGCACTGCAAGATGAACCTAAACAAAGCCCCGCTGAGTACGTGCCGGACCCGTGTGAATTACCCCCCGGTGTGGTTATAAAAACCCAGCCTGTAGCACCGCCTCCCTACAACGAGTCCCAAGTGTACGTGAACACCCACGCTGGTCAGTACGGACCAGGTCCGTTCGATAATCCGGGACCTAACGTGTGGTCACCGCACCAGCAGCAACAGTTCAACATCACACCACAGCAGTTTTCTAGCTCTGTTCCTCACCAACAGAGGGTACCTCAGCCCGATATAGGTTCGTTATTTTTCGACACAAACGTTAAAGTTATTCGGCTCCTTTCTTTTAACAACTCATTTGTCACTATGTGACCCTAAAATCAGATTAAGGTGTACTAACTAATAACCTTATAAGATATGAGAATTTAATTCAACATTCCCCACCAACAGTAACTCCATTACATGCAACTTTAACCCCACACAAAAGCGAAACTAACCCCAATTCCTCCCCGCAGAGCAGTTAATGCAAGATAAATTAACCGCAGAAGGGCACTACCACGCCGGTCACCTGCCTGCCTCCCCAATGCAAGCCCAGGGGACTGACCAGTACCCAGGGGGTTACGGACACCAGCAGTTCATGCAGGAGATGGACCAGAGTGGCGTTCAGAGCTGTGAGAGCAGCTGGAGTGAGACTGGCAGTGATTTTACTGTCACTAATCCGCACAGTCCTTATATGGTGTGTTTAATCTCCTGTTTTAATGTTTGTTAGTAGACAGTGTTATTAGTCAGCGGACCCCGGTTAATTTATCATCTTAGCCGGTGTTTTACCCCACTCTGTACCACTTGGACCAGACAAATCTCACGCTATAAATCTCACCACAATTCTGCTCAGATTTGTAATAAATAATCAATTTGTCCTTACATATGTTAATGTAAGAGAATCTGCGTCAAACACAATGTCGAACAGATTGCATATGTCTTTATAATTCCGATTCTTGCTTCATTTCACGCTTATGTCGGCAGAGACATCATGAATTAATACATATATAGTTTTAATACTTTCAACACTACTATATAACAAATAATTTGAGCTAGCAGAATGGTTTTCAGAGGGCATTAATGAAATGTACTATGAGCTGGTCCCAAGTCCAGACGCCATTTTATTCTTTGTCATTTTCAATAACCCTGTCTGATATAAACCTTCTCTGAATGTCTACCTTTCAGGCGGACATTTCGTGCGATCAAGATTTCTGTAAGTATTTCTTCTTTCGAAATATTGAATATTCAGGGGGGGGGGGGGGGGGGGGGGGGGGGGGGGTAAAAGTCAGTGTGCAAACCTTGGGTCTTATTATACCTCCGCCGTGTTTTAATATATTTGAGAGTTGTTGCTTTGCAGATGGCATACTGTACCTACCTAAATATTTTAGACCATGCCCGTTCAAAATTAAAACACCGGTATATTGTTCTCTATGAACATGCTGGACGCCTAATTTTTCAGAGACGATAACTTATTAAATGTTGCATTTGGGATGAAAAAATGAGGCAAAACGGATTAGAAACGACGAAGTTATCAAGCATTTTGTGTATCTCGTTAACAAAATTGACTGGGTGATTATGTGACACCGTGACACGACACCTTAATTGGACACCCTTAACAATTCTCATAATGTTTAACGGGTGGTTAACGGGGTCATCTAATCACGTGATTAGGTAAACCAATCACCTGATCACACGTAATGAATAAACTCGTTATGCTTCATATCTCGGTCATCTGAGAAGCTGAGAAGCTACAACTCTAATATTTTCAGGACAAACGTAATTCAAATGGCCAAACTCAATTCAATAAAATTTAGCTCGATACGACTATCCAAACTATCAAATAAATGCAAAAATGAACCTTCATTTGAAAAAAATGAACACGAATATTTTTCGATTTGACAAATTCCTCGAACAAGACGTGGTGGTAGTAAGTCATACCAGAAAGAATTATTTCAATTGGTAACTCAGAGCTATTGGTTGCACGCTGAATTTTGCCCCCCCCCCCCCCCCCCCCTGTTATAAGACTTAGAGCAATTGTATTTTATTATTATTATTAGTGTTGTAGACTTACTATGATTGCTGCCGTTCTATGAATTTACCAGAGTCAATGATTTTTACATTAAACGGGAATGTAACTACGGGCAGAAACAATAATATCGTGACGTGGTTACCAACGTATTGTACCATAGCAACCTAAATACTGCTCCATAGCAACCACAATTACGGGTGCTCTACAATAATTTGCTCCTCTCGGGACTCGGGTCCTTTCTAAAGAGGTACTGGTATTTACTGGCACAACTACTGGTATTTACTGGCACAACTACTGGTATTTACTGGCACAACTACTGGTATTTACTGGCACAACTATCAAGTATCAAAGTACCAATCAATTTTATCCGACCTCCAGAATTCAGAAATATGAAGACATTGCCATTCCAGTGCCTGGGACTATGTCTCTCTGTGTCCTCTCTCTCTGCACACTTCGGAAATATCCGGGAAATGTGTGTAAAAATACATTCGTACTGTCTACTATTTTCTCTTTTTTGTTATTTCTCGGTATGACTTTAAACACAGATAAGTCTACACAGTCTACACAATTAAATATTATCACAGACCTATCTGTCACAAATACATACAGATTGGTCTATAACTTGCACATGATAGATAACATAATGATCTAGATAACAGAATTTAATAATAATAATAATAACGCTTTATTTGTATATCATATAACATAGATTGAAACTTAATAATACGGCAACTGTTATAGTGTTTAGTGTTTAGAGTTATGAGTTGCAGAATGCATTAAGAATTACTGGAAAGTGAGACTGGAATATATAACTGGAATTTACTAGATTACAGACAATACTTTCCTGACAGTAATGTGGAAGGTATTATCAGGTATCTTTAATAAGGTATTTTCAGGTATTTTCAGTTGGTGCCACCGTTAAAATATAATGAACTTTTGTTAATTATTTGTCCAGTTCTGTGATCGATATATTTTCTGGAATATTGTTAAGGCCTTTCGTGGCCTAATTTTATCAGGTAGAAACATATCTCTATTAATGAATTATTAAAGCAAATTGCTTATTGTGAAGCTAAATTAAAGTTTGCTGAAGCGATGAGGTGCAAAAAAAGATTGAATAGAAAGGACCGGAAAATCTAAGAAACTTATAGTTTTCAAAAATATAATTTGTAAAAATTGACAACCAAGTGTTACTCAACATACATCTTGTTCTGCCGTTTTCTTACAAAATGTGCTTAAAAAACATTTTTGAAACTCTGAATTCTTAAGCCAAATTGGGTCAAGAACTATCGCTGAAAACAATCGAAACTTATTAGAACCAATCGCTGGCCCCAGAAACTTCCTTGAGGAACCGCTTAAAATACCGAAATTTGTCAAAAATGTGTCAAAAGTGCTTAAAATCACGGATTTTTGAGTGGTCTTTAACTGCTTAACTGGGACTGGGAATTGGGAGGCAAAAACTAGAATGGGGAAATTTGAGGATAAAACTGGAATGATAATATATTGCATTGTTCGAAACTGTGAGTTTCCATCGATTAACTAATTAACTAATTAATTAAATGGTTAGAGCTGCCCTAAACACACCTGTATTCTGATAGATAACACTTAGTGAGATGGGGTATATCCTAGCAAGGAGATTAAAAACTAATGCTGGATAGATAGATTTGGAAAAAACTATCTCTGTTTGGACGTTGAAGGCGCTTTAAGTCGAAGTCGAGTAATCTGAGTAATGGACATAGAAACTATGTACAACTATGTACAACTATGTACAACTATACTATGTTTTATATTTAGGTGGCTGTTTCAGTGTGTACTCTTATGCGTGTACATACTTTCTTCAGATTATGTGATTCCTTTGAAGTATATTGTAATTTGTAGTGTTTAGCTTTACTGTTTACATAACAGATTTACACCTAAACATAGCTTTTGATCTGCTGAATGAAAGTAAAAATCAAGTACAATTACAATGTACATTGTACAATTCTGCCGGTTTCTGACAATTTTTGAAATTCTGAATTTTTTAACCCAAATTTCATTTTTGGTTCAAGAACTATCCTTGAAAACCGCCAGACACCATTAGAGCATTAGAACCAATCGCTGCCCTCAAAAATCTCCTTTTAGACCGCTAAAAATGCAAATATTTGTCAAAAGTGCTTAAAAACCTCCGATTTGTCAGAAAACTGCAGAAACGTCTGTTCCATGAGTTTTAAACACCTTAAAACAATTGTTACTCATCTAAGTTTGGCTGCACACTTCAAATGAGGGACATATTAAATTGTTTCGAGTTTTTCTTATAATAAACTGTTGTACCATCCACCACTAATATCTAATTAGCAACTCTGAACTCAGTTATTTTACATTCGTGTGCTCATGACAATGGATGGTATATAATACAGGGTGAGTTGAAAATAGTGTGTAGAAAGTAAATGGCTCTAATTTTTTTGACAAATGAAATTTCCACTTAATTTTTGCATATTTAGGTAATGAAAATATTTAAATATTATAATAATGCAATAAAAATACTTAATAAGTATTAATTTGCTCAACCCATTGTCCTTTATTGTTGATAGGACATGTTGATAACGTGTAAGACAATTGTCTATAGCCGACTTGACTGTATTAAGGGGGCGGGGGGTCTTCGTGGAAATGTTCTCAAAATCGACTTTTTAGTTGTTTCTGATAGAGGGGAGCAATATCTATCAGATGCTTTTGATCCCGTGGAAAAATATCGTTCCTAGCCGAAATTAATGCCGGTCAAAGGTCAGCGCGTGTGTGGTAATTGTATTGCGCGAGCGATTTTTGATCGCGTGCCCTGAAAATCGAGTCTAAAAATCTATCTTCTCATACATTTTTTGAGAAATCACCCTGAAACTTTCAGGATATGTTCTAGGGATCATTTAGAAGAGATGAGTGTACATTCTACACACTATTTTCAACTCACCCTGTATATTGCTCGAAACTGTGAGTTTCCATGGATTAACTAATTAATTAAATGATTAGAGCTGCCCTAAACAGTCTGTATTCTGATAGGTAACAGTTAGTGAGATGGTTTCTGGATCATTGAAGTTTTTGAACCAGTCGTTTATAACAAGGAGGGTGAAATTAGGTGGGTGAAGCCATGGTGAAACTAGAGGGGGGAACTTTGAGATTAATAAAACTGGAATGATATTTGTTCTGTTATTCTCGTAAAGCTAACAAGCTAGTTAGTTAATTCCTATCATTTGTTTGCAACAGTGTACTGTACCGTCTACACATTGGCATGTGAAATGTTGCACACGTTTTCCTGTGAGGAACTGAAACAAGAAATCAATAACTCTTATTGAGATCTAACCTGTGCTTTATTGTTTCCATTGTTCAACTATACAGCAACTTTTATTGTCCTTTAGATCTATATAAGATTGTACTTCTCCACTTCGCCACTTCTCCAACCGGTCACATTCTCAGTGCTCATACAATTCACGGTTCTATAAAGAGGACACATTATATACACGAGCAGTAACTTAACACTGAGCAGATCACCCCATCATAGTGATGTGATCTATAATGCTTTATTGCTGCCCAACTCGCAATATTATACAATGTTATAGCAATTCCTAATAGCAACTTAAGATTATTTTTTAATCTTAAGAAAATTATATTCACAGACTTGAATCAATTTTTAAAAAGTAGTCTTACTAAACTATGATAAGTTTTCAAGGTTGTTGAACTGAAAGATAACCCTGATAAACTGATAGCCCCCCCCCCGGCCCTCAAATAACAGTTCTTATTTTTAACCGTTTAGAAGATTTGCGAGCAGTCAAATGTTCTGAGGAAATTCTAACAGTACTACAAGGGTATCTTCAGTCCGTGGGATATAGAAATATAGTTACATGAAATTGGAATTGTCCGTAATTATTCCGCGCTAGATTGTCATAAATATGATTTGATTTGATTTGAAACTTTACAAAATAGCTAATATATACAAATGTACAGTAAACCGAACAAACATATCAAATGGGCCGAAATGTATTATACATGCTAAAAAGTGTTGGACAGTGATATAATTACAAAGGATAACCTCCAAAACAGGACTTTTATGGCTGACAATAGTCTCAATAATATAATTTTCACCTAGAAGTAAAATGATAATTGCGAGAAGTGTAAAAATAATCGAAAATATAATATAGCATGTAATTAATATTTAAATAATAATATATAGTATGTAATTGTCTCCAAAATAGTAATACAGATAACGTCCGAAAACTCATATTATAATACTTGAATACATTCTTACCCAATACCGATGAACTTCTCTTACCCTTGAGAAAGCAATGTCGTTGGCGTCCATATTCAGTTATTTTCCAACTTAATGCACCGTCTAGCAACACAGCCTTCCACAATCCACATCTTACTGTTCATCAAAATCGAAATTATGAATATTCTGAATACTCTGAATACTTTAAAACCCAAATTCATTTTTTTTTGGACAAGATTCAAGAACTGTCCTTTAATTTTCTTTATTTAATTTTCTTGAAAAAAGTAAACGTATCTCTATTATATAACGTTGCCTTTTATGAAAATTGAGACTTATAACATGATGCACAATACGTGAAATGTTAGTCTTATCATTTTGTAAAAGTAAAAGTATGTATATTGAGGTGGCTGTTTTAGTGAACATGCCTTATATTACTATTTACATCACAGACTTACACGTAAAAATAGCTTTAGATCTGCTTAGTGCTTAATGGAAGAAAAACTCACGTACAATTCTTTCCTTTTCTGACAAATCTGCTTACCTTACTCGGGAATATTATAGCGGGTTAATTTATGACTGGGAAAATTAATAACCGGGAAAAATATGGCGGACTTTCCCAAATTCAAAACCCGCCAAATTATCCCGGTCATGTATTTACCGGTGGCCGACCTTTCAAGTTTTTTTTTCAGAGGTCAACAAATTTTCAACCGAAATTTCTGTTTTTGTTACTTGTTAAAGAAGTTATTTCAATTTACAGTTACTGATATTACTCAGAAATAGAAACAAAGACACGTCTAGTATTTAAAGGAAAATAAATCTATAGCAATAATAAGTCAAATCTTCATTAAAGCGTATTCTCATTCTCATTATCGCTAATGTCCCCTCCATTATCATTATTGATATCCCCCTGCTGCTGACCGTCAAATTCGAAGTTGTATTGTTGTCTTAACAAGACTTGTCCGCTAATGGGGCTACTGCTCTGAAGGTCAGCCGGAGCTTAATTTCCTGCCCACCGCTTGGTATTGGGGAACTTCTTGGCTTTGCATCTTCAACTGCTCCTGTAATCAATCCACCGTGGACCATGAAATAGTGGCACAGTTTACTCACTTCATGGGCAAGAAAAGTGAGAATCACGGTCCACCCTGAAATCTGATTTCTATAACCAAATTGTGATTTTTATAACGAAATTATGGTAGCAACCGCCAATAAAGTTACAGCCCTCCATCCACTGCTTCAAAAGTCTTCTTTAGCACATATGAGACTTCAGGTAAAATATGATAATCACCACCCCCTTTGAACCCCATAATCTGAGTCGGCGGGTTTTTTATGACTGGTAAAATTTTTGACCGGGAAAAATATGGCGGAATCTTCCAAAACCCACCACTTTATCCCGGTTATAATAATCCCGAGTAAGGTAAAGACCATTTTTGAAATTCCGAATTCCTTAACCCAAATTTCTTTTTTGGGTCAAGAACTATCCTTGAAAACCATCAGAAACCATAAGAACCAATCGCTTAGAACCGTTTAAAATGCCAAAATTTGTCAAAAGTGCTTAAAAACCTCGGATTTTTGAGTGGTCTTTAAGCGCTTTTGTCAGAAAACTGCAGAATTAATGTTAAATAACTTCTGACAGAATACTCGCCTAACATCAGTTTCGTACGGTAAGCTGTGATATAATAACATATCGAAATTCTGAATATCCTGAATTTTCTTCTGGGATTGGGTCAGATTCAGTTTATCCTCCAATACATCAAATGACTCATCCGCCACAGTATACTTGTATAGTAATGTATACGGCGTACACACGCAAAGGCTAGCTACAGTCTACACACGCATAGGTGGGAAATTGGGATATTAGGGTTGGTCACTAGGGCCTCTATACGGCCACTTTATGGCCTATAGTGGACACCATACGGCCTCTGTACAGCGACGTAACGTTGCCAGTTGGCGCCCCCGCCGAAAGAGCGCCCCCTGTTGGCACCCCTTCCCCTTTTGGCGCCCCTCCCTAAAATTGAACAAAGTAGGTGATTTTTGAGGATAAGCCGGTAAAATCTCTAAAAACAGTGTGTTTCTAAAGCAAAATGCGCAGTTTTGCTAGTACCTCAGTTAACGTTTTACGGCCTATAATAGTGGACTCCATACGGCCTATAGTGACCGTATCGTGGCCAAACCAATTTCACCGCAAAGGCGAAGTACACGGAGCGGAAGCAGCAAACGGAACGATAAACTAGCTGATAAACAACAGCTGCATTTTTAACACGCAACCTACACACAAATAAATAAATAAATAGATTGTCATAAATATTAAGAGATTGTATCAACAAATTCCACCAAAACTGTCTTTAAAATATTGTGTTAATAAATGTACATTTTAAATCTGAACAGCTCTCCGGCCGGGTACAGAGAATGTGCGTGCACTGATTAGAATTAGATAGTACAACTAACAAAAGGAAAACACTAATTGGGTAATGGGTATTGCTCACTTACTGCACCCTGTAAACCGCTTAGTTATGTACTGTAAACTGGTGCTCACTGCTCATGAATAACGTAACTTAAACTTGAATAATTTAATTTAAATATTATGATGGTTATGCATTATGAGGCTTGTCCAACACAGTACAACACAATATATACATTTAACATTACACAAGGATAGAGGACTTGTGTTATGTACGAATTTGTAGCAGTATACTGCTTCTGCTACAAAACGAGCATACTTTTTAGTTTTTCCGTATTAAATAAATGTATCTGTTCGTTGGGTATGTTTTTAAATTCGGAGCGTGTAATAGAATATAATAAATTAAATCAGTATTCATTTATTATGAATGTAACTATAAAATTATAAGTGGATTACAATCGAATCTTTATTTTGCTGTTGAATAGAATTACAATAGAAATCAGTTGCCGACTGGCTGATGGCTCTCATTGAGTGTAGAAAGGTTACAGTTCAGAGATACTAATGATAAATGATAATGACAAATAACTGAATAATAATAAATTACGATAAGGTTTTACGGTTGATATTTCAGGCCTTCGAACGCCGGACTGCCTTTGCTTGAGCTGTTTGACCAGACGAGGAGGGCTTTAGATGTTCCGGATAATATCTCTGGTATCTGGATAATATCTCTGGTATTCTGGATTATAATACATCTTTGTGTCTTTGATAATATTCATGATATTATCTCAGATTACGTCACTGATTATACCTCTAATTATACCTGTTTAATGTTTATGGACCAATTACAAAAAGTATAAGTTTTTGGTTTCTTCAGAGTACATCATAAACTATTATATATATTCCGAATCGTTTCAATTATTTTACCCCCTTTCGTAATGAGTTTTACACGTCATATTAGACGTAATCATTTAGAACCCCCTCCCTCCCCCTTGGCTTTACTTATTAATGTGTGAACAACCCCTCATACTGCAGGGTTCATGGCTAGCAGCTCAGCCGAGAAGCTAACTTTAGCATTAATTATCGATGTTATAGATGTGGATTCTGGAGTTTGATTAAAGGCTGATAATTGGTTAATTGCTCTTACGCACCAGAATCCACCAGCCACCTGATCATGCAATCCTGTTTTTGAATTGTGGTGGGAACATCACATTACTGATCTTGGAACTGTGATATTACCACAGTTAGTATTATTAAGATATGTAATTATATATATTATTAACCAGCAGCAGTTTGAATTTTAAATGTCAGTGTTTGTGAATCCGAGCCCTTCCCACTCTTTGAATAATAAAATTATCTCCTCTAGTCTTATAATATCTTGTTGTTACGTTAAGGTAGTGTTTAATCTAAATTATCCTCTTTCGTTGTTATACAAATGGTACACATTGATGATTATAACTAGTTGTGTTGCAACATTTGAACCAATCAGAGGGCTGGCTCAGTGCCACGTGATGCTGGCTCAGTGCCACGTGATGCTGGCTCAGTGCCACGTGTTACTGGCTCAGTGCCACGTGATCAGATTATATGCAGTTTTGTGCACTGAGGCACAGAGGTAATCACTAGTAATCACTGGAGTGAGGTTTTGCAGCTCTGTTTCAGCCGAGATGTTAGCTGGGTAGTAACAATGATAAATTTGTTTGAGTTATTTTAAATTTATTACACGACTGTTAGTATTAATGAGCACTGCAGACTGAACTATTGGCTGGCAGACTTGAGGGGACCACGTGTGATCTGTCGCTGAAACAATTGACCGAGTAAGGAGTTTTTAGAGTTTTTAGTTGAGTTTTGTGGTGTTTAAAGTGTTCGAATAGTCGTGTGATTTAACTTATAGGGGACCGTGTTACGACAGCGAAATGACCAATTTCTGTGAAAAATTTTAAACAATTAGTTACATTTTTATTTATTTTCGATGAAATGACTGTTTCAATAAAAGGTTCATTTTGCCGTCAAAGCAGGGTTAAGTTCATCCAAACGGCTTTCAGTTTTAAAGATTGTTAGTCTTTTGTCTGTATCTTTGATCTTATCCCTATTAATGGGACGTTTTAGAACTTAATCGTTCACATTACACAGCTTTTAAAGTTATTAATGAACACTCAGAAATCGCACACATATTACTTTATTTTTTAATTTATTCGTGTAGATCATTCATATCTCATGATCTCAACAACTATTTTTAAAAGAAAAACATACATTCTTTTAAGATGCCAAAACTGTTCTATTTTTGTAACCATTTCAGTTTCCTCTACTGTTAGGTCAGGATATTATGTCCACCAAACTTTAAAAGTTTTAATTCTCTCTTGTATACCAATGTTTTACTTAGTAGTTTACACTTTACGGTAAGGGTTTCTCAGTTTCTGGAAAAATAAATTGACGTCGTTTACAGTACCTTACAAGACTTTTTTGTGGCGGACCAATTTGCGACGACCGAAATTTTGGCGGTCCGAAAATATGGCGAAATTGAACAAAAACCGTCAAATTTCGGACGTCACAGAAAATAAGGGTATTTTTCATCATTTTTTGTGACAGTAAGCAGTAAGGAAATTTCTGAAATTCGGCAAAATCATGTTCAAACTTAGTCTGTATTAAGACTGTAAGACTTTCATGTTAGCACATACGTGTATTTTAATGCAAATTTAAACTGTATTGCTTGACATTCAATTCGTCATTGGTGTGGTGATAATTTGTCCCAAGATGCCAGAATTTATTTATTTATTTTACTTGATATTACTTTTAAGAAACAAAATAAAGCAGTGAAGGCACAGTCATTGAAATAAGCTAAAAGATAATGCGACGGATTCTATTACGACGACCGAAATTTTGGCGGTCCGAAAATATGGCGAAATTTTCGGAAAACCGCCACATTTCGTACGTTATAAATATGTCTTGTAAGGTACACTCCAATGTATGTGTACTGAAGATTCACTTTCAGTAACTTTTGGCAGGGGCCTCTCATCGAACCCTCAAGGATGGGTTCCAGATCATCGGCTTGAGGTCGAGACAACCATGGAAATGAAGACGTTAGCACACCCTAGGGATTGATGGCATATGTAATGACGGGGATTGTAACTGCAATCTTTCGATTTTCCAAGCTACTACCAGCCCCCATAAAAGTGAAATAATGAAGATTTTTAACTTAATTGAAGTTAATTATATATGCTTGTTGAGTGTATGAAGTCTGGAAATTAATAAACGTATGGTATGTGAACTATTTAAAAATTTAGCGTTGCTTCATTGCATCGTAAAGATTTTTAGATCCGCCAACAGTTGCATCCTCTGCAGATATGTTGCTTCCAGGTAAGTCTAGTAATATTACAGCAGATAAAAGGTTTATCTCAGAACTCATCTCGAAGTACATATAAAAGTATAAACTGGTACACCTCTACCAGTACATATAAACTGGTACACCTCTACCAGTACATATAAACTGGTACACCTTTACCAGAACATATAAACTGGTACACCTTTACCAGTACATATAAACTGGTACACCTCTACCAGTACATATAAACTGGTACACCTCTACCAGTACATATAAACTGGTACACCTCTACCAGTACATATAAACTGGTACACCTTTACCAGAACATATAAACTGGTACACCTTTACCAGTACATATAAACTGGTACACCTCTACCAGTACATATAAACTGGTACACCTCTACCAGTACATATAAACTGGTACACCTCTACCAGTACATATAAACTGGTACACCTCTACCAGTACATATAAACTGGTACACCTCTACCAGTACATATAAACTGGTACACCCCTACCAGTACATATAAACTGGTACACCTCTACCAGTACATATAAACTGGTACACCTCTACCAGTACATATAAACTGGTACACCTCTACTAGTACATTATATACACTGGTACACCTTTACCATTACATATAAACTGGTACACCTCTACCAGTACATATAAACTGGTACACCTCTACCAGTACATGTAAACTGGTACACCTCTACCAGTACATATAAACTGGTACACCTCTACCAGTCCAGATAAACTGGTACACCTCTACCAGTACATATAAACTGGTACACCTCTACCAGTACATATAAACTGGTACACCTCTACCAGTACATATAAACTGGTACACCTCTACCAGTACATATAAACTGGTACACCTCTGCCAGTACATATACACTGGTACACCCCTACCAGTACATATAAACTGGTACACCTCTACCAGTACATATAAACTGGTACACCTCTACCAGTACATATAAACTGGTACACCTCTACCAGTACATATAAACTGGTACACCTCTACCAGTACATATAAACTGGTACACCTCTACCAGTACATATAAACTGGTACACCTCTACCAGTACATATAAACTGGTACACCTCTACCAGTACATATACACTGGTACACCTCTACCAGTACATGTAAACTGGTACACCTCTACCAGTACATATAAACTGGTACACCTCTACCAGTACATATAAACTGGTACACCTTTACCATTACATATAAACTGGTACACCTTTACCAGTACATATAAACTGGTACACCTCTAGTTTACCAGACACAATATTCGCTCGCAGCACTATTACCATTATGTTTATTTTGAAAATTACTGTTTCAATACAAAGTGTTTACCTCCCAACTCCTTTAAATGCTTCCTCCCACTCTCCAAATCAGTCACATTGTACTAACACGACGTCATTCCCCACCAACTACCTTCCAGCTTAACTACCTGAAACCCAACTATGTGACCGTTTCATTTATCTGTTCAGATCTAGCAAATCTAATCCAGATTGATTCAAGATTTATAAACGTGGTGAATCTATTCTCATTATACCTTATAAGCTCTTGTTTTACCGACCGTTTAATCAGAGAGTTCACGGGCTTGACCGGCTACATGGTGCTGGCTTGACCGGCTACCCGGTGCTGGCTTGACCGGCTACCCGGTGCTGGCTTGACCGGCTACCCGGTGCTGGCTTGACCGGCTACCCGGTGCTGGCTTGACCGGCTACCCGGTGCTGGCTTGACCGGCTACCCGGTGCTGACTTGACCGGCTACCTGGTGCTGGGTTCAAAATTGCTTGTATTCTGGCAGATTGAGATGTGCTCACACTCTACCACTACCGTTTTCAGACAAAATTGCTTAAAGATCACTCAAAAATCAGAGGTTTTTTAAGCACCTTTCACCCATTTTTGACACATTTTGACATTTTAAGCGATTCCAAAAGGTGGTTTCGGGGGCCGGCGATTGGTTTTAATGGTTTCTGATGGTATTGAGGAATAGTTCTTGATCCAAAAACAGATTTGGGTCTTAAAATTCAGAATTTCGAAAATGGTCTCCCAATTTCGTTTGTCAGAATACGGCAGAACAGAAACGAGGAAAACATTTCGCGGATTATTAGGCCGAAAGGCGGAAACGTGATGGGGATGATGGGTTCGGAAAGTTTTGCGGCCTATATTGATCTGCATTGTATTTGGCATCAATCCATTGAATATTTTAGAAAATCTTTTCAAACTACAGCATAATTCGTACATGGTTTTCATCATTTTCACATTTAATTATCTGAACATCAATATTGAATATATTGTGTTAAATATACTAGTAATAGTTACGTGTGACCTAAAAGTCTAAAAGTAAGTTTTCCCAATTGAACAATCAGACAAGATGATAGATGTAAATCTCCAAAATAGCTGAATTATATCTTGATATTAGGCAGATCTGCTAAATATGTTAGGAATCATCGTCAATAGCATATATCAACGTACGCGTACGTGTGAACTGTCCAGCTGAGTATTGAGGTTAACACGTGCGTGATTTTGCAGGAAGAGAAATCGCGCCATTTCCATACCCGCTACATCGCTACATGATCTTTTGGGAGGTTTTATTATTGTTAGCTAGTAGTAATATAGCTATTGTTCTTATACCTTCCTAGCCTATAACGTCATTTTATCCGCTTTCATCAGCTCAATTGCCAACAAATAACGACAATTGTTGATCTTTCATTGTACTATTTCTATAATTAGTTCTATGATATACAAGCAGTAGTTAAGAAATAAGTGCTCGTTCAAGTGCATCGACTACCGGATATGAAAAGTGAAAACCTCAATCTTTACAATAAAATAGTTGACAATTTATTATATATTATTACTATAATATATGCACTTTAATATATAGTTTCTTGCACGTATGTATATCTGTCTCGAGTACCGACTACCGGATATGGATGCCTCAATCTTTATCTTAATAATAATTGTGCTCATGCTGAGTACGTGTACAAACCTTATTGTACTTTCAACTTAAAATAGCAGCTTAACAACCCCTGTCCAATCTGTGCAGCCCTCAGTCTGTGGAAACATCAGTCTGTGCAGCCCTCAGTCTGTGCAGCCCTCACTCTCAGTCTGTGCAGCCCTCAGTCTGTACAGCCATCAGTCTGTGCAGCCCTCAGCCTGTGCAGCCCTCAGTCTGTGGAAACCTCAGTCTGTGGAAACCTCAGTCTGTGCATCCCTCAGTCTGTGCAGCCCTCAGTCTGTGCAGCCCTCAGTCTGTGCAGCCCTCGGTCTGTGGAAACCTCAGTCTGTGAAGCCCTCAATCTGTGGAAACCTCAGTCTGTGCAGCCCTCAGTCTGTGGAAACCTCAGTCTGTGTAGCCCTCAGTCTTTGGAAACCTCAGTCTGTGCAGCCCTCAGTCTGTGGAAACCTCAGGCTGTGTAGCCCTCAGTCTGTGGAAACCTCAGGCTGCACGGTGAATCTGCTGCTGTACATCAAACTATTGTTTCACACACTCCATCGGTGGCTCTATTTTCACCGCTACCCACTTAATTCTAAGTTGATCCTATCCTTCAAGATATTGCAGACAGGAGTCAGTTATGAGTCATAAAGGATTGTATTTACACGTCCTATATACATACTGTGTAAAATATGAACATAAGGTATAATACGAAAGTTAGAACAGAGTGCAATGGAGAATCTTATTACATGATATGTGTGAGATGCAGGTCACTCTAAAGCTCCAAAGAGAAAGAGACTTCTTCATGTCATAAACATCTACAGTGAACAGCATTTATTCGACCTTTGTTAACATGCATATTTAATAGAATATGCTGCGTGGATCTTCATATTCGGCACGTACCGGCAGTAAACAGGTCACTTTTTACTTTCTAAAATTCAGTATTCATGCGGTCTTATCGGCACGTGCAATCAATTCATTGTCTATCAAGACAGGTGTGCGTACGTTTGGGCCTGATATCTGGAATAATATACCTGACCAAGACACGGTATACTATATACTATCAGGACACTCTGTTTGCAGCATACATTTAATC